AAGTACATGACTAAATGGGCTCTTGGACATGAGTGACCCTTATACTTCACAAACTCAGGAATCTTAAACTTAGCAGGCATAACGAGGCTAGAAACTAAGCACATGTTGTCTGCATCAACGTTGAAGAAATTTGTACACTCGACAGCCTTGAGTCTCTTGTCTAGGTTCTGAAACTGTTCACGGACAATCTCAGGCTCACCAAAATCTTCATAGTCTTCTCCTTGAGCACTGGCACCATTGTAGTCAAAGAAAGGAGTCTCAAAGGGAGTTCGGCCATTCTGGGCAACAGTATGGACCACAGGTCTGGGCTCTGTAAAGACGGGAGCTTGAAAAACTGGTCTGACAGTCTGACCAATCATAGCAGTAGATGCGAGGGATGGAGAGTAGTTGGGAGGTAAACCAAACTCTGGCCAAGTTGAAGGTGGCAAGTCCTGCCGTAAATCTGCATCCAGAGATGACAAGTCTTCTTGAAGATTTGATGGATCCTCCTCTACTGTATATGTCGTATAATTAGGCCCATAGTATTTAGTAACTCTTGTTTACTTCGTCGAAGTTCTATTTCTACTACATTGTTGCTTTCAATGCTTGTTATCACATGAATGTGATTCGATTCAGTGCCCCAACTATTTCTCGATTTGAAAGGAAATCTATCTTCATAGAATTCAACATCATTCAATTCTATGATCACTTTAGCATTTAGGTCATAATATCTATATGCTTTATTGTTTGTTGTATACTCAATGAATACATATTCATATCTTACTAGCGAGTTTTACTTGCTTCGGATCCGAAATTCTAACATAAGTCAGATAGTCCTGAGTTCTTAAATAAGACAAATTTGGTTGTCTTTTCTTTAATATCTCATAAGGAGAGATTTTACTTTTTGACTTGGGAATTCTATTCAGGACATAGAAAACAATCAACAAAATTCCCCTCACCGATGAAAAGCAGCACCAGAATTCAACATAGTTGCAACAACAATTTCAGTAAGAGTTTTATTCTTTCTTTCTTCTTTACCATTCATTTCAGGAGAATATGATGCAGTCATTTCATGTACAATTCCACGTTTTTTTTTATAAAATTCATTACATAACCTTGAATCATACTTAGTTCGCATATCACTACGAAGTCTTTTAATCCTCTTACTAAATTGATTTTCAATCTCATTCACATACATTTTAAACGTTTCAAGCGCTATACTTTTATTCTTCATTAAATACACATAAGTATAATTAGAATAATCGTCAATAAAAGTGATAAAATAACGTTTACTATTTCTAGTTAAAGTTCCATCTAATTCACATATATCTAAGTGCATAAGATTTATGGGATTTATGTGAAGTCTTAGTTATTTTAACTTGACTACAATATTCACATTTTTCTAAACCATTGACATTCAATTTCAAGATTAGGCCTAAGTTGCTAAGATTAGAAATTATTTGTTTATTAACGTGACAGAGTCTAGCAATGCTAAATATTAAAATCAAACAAATAGTAAATAGAATGAAAAATTTTATTCAAATCAACATTCAACTTAAACATGTCATCAATGTCGTATTCTTTCCCAACAAAAATACCATTCTTAGTGATGGTGTACAAATTTGTCCCAATAGACTGACTAAACCTTTCCTTATTTAAAAGAAAATCAGAAACAAGATTCTTCCTAATTTCAGGAACATGCATGACCTCTTTAAAATTGAAGTCTTTCTTGATGTGAAGCTCGGCTCAACATCTCCAATTCCAGCAACATTAGTGGTGTGAACATCTCCCAATAACACTTTCTTATCTTCAGCATTTGTGTATGTCTTAAACATAGCACGATTATAACATACATGACGAGGGGCTCCAATGTCTATCCACCATACATCACTTCTACGAATTATGTTGATTTCGGTGATCATAGCAATCAATTGCTCATAAGTCAGATTAACTTGTGCATTAGAGCCAGTAGGTTTAGGTCTGCTCCTACATCTCTTAGTAATATGACTCGATTTTCCACAATTAAAGCAAGTGAAAAGCAGAGTGTCATTTCTTTGAGGTGGTGGTTGCTATCTAGAAATCAAAGTAGATGGGACCCTAGAAGAATTCTCATTCTTAATTTGGTTCAAAATATTACGGTTTTGAATCTTTAATCATTTGCCTAATGACTTCAGAACTACAACAATTCTTTTTTTTAAAACAACCAATATTTTTTCTTTTCGATCTTGCATCTAAGATTCTTCTTTAACTTGAAGGTGAATAATCAGACTTTCAATTAAAAATTCTTTTGTTTTATGGTGAAACAATTTTTTTAAAAACATTCAAACTAAAGGGCAATTTGTCAATAATAAAATCAATTTGAAATTGTTCATCTAAACACATACTTTTTTTGATGATGTTATAAGTAATCTTTTGAAGTTTGTAACATTGAGTCTCCATAACCTTTCATTTATACCATATGATATATTAGGTAGCATCTAACGACATACTTCTTTGCTCCAACTTTTTCGGTGTCATACTTACTTTCCAGAGCCTCCCAATCTTATTTTGTAGTATCATAATTTCTGTAATAATTATACAGGTTATCTGTGAGTCCGTTAAATATATGATTTTGTAGAGATCATCATTCTCATTCAACTTCAGCATTATTAAGTGTTACATCTGAATCTATAGAATTCTTATCGTTAATTTTTCGATTGATCCAAAAGGAGTAACAGGAACATCCTCAGTCAAAACGTTGCCAACCTTCTTTAAATTTATAAAAACAATTCATTTTAACTTGGCAACGTTTGAAATGAAGACCCTCAAACTTGAACGGTTTATCAAAGACAGCGGCCACAATGTTACCAATAACTTCTTTGATAGCCGTGACAGTTTTTGAAAACTTCTTACAATTGTTGTTTCACGATTTTGAAAATCAGCCACAGAAGAAATTATTGGATCGAATCGCATATTAACTCGCTCTCTTTAACACGTTTCGCGACATTGTTCAAAATTATGCAAAGTAGTTGAACTACTACGTCGCCCCCAGAGTAAAACAACTCAGTTTTATACTATATTATTACTATTTACAGAGTAGATAATCAATTTAGAAATACACCCTCTGATGGTACAAAAATCATTGAAATATAGTATAACTACCACTTGTAGTATATAGGATAACGACTAGTCGTAATAATTTTTCAAATCAAGAAAATTTTCAATAATTCTCTAAGGGTCTGTTTGGTTCAATCGAGGGGAGGGGAGGGGAGGGATTTTTATCGAGGGGAGGGAAGGGGAGGGGAAGGGAGGGGAGGGATTTTAATTACATATATGTTTGGTTCAAAATATGAAAGGGGAGGGGAGGGGAGGTATTTTATTTACAAATATGTTTGGTTCACAAGGGGAGGAGAGGTATTTTAAAACTAATTTACTTTTTTATCCTTCTAATTTTACCATAAGACTTGTGATATTTACCGTTTATATCTCAAATACAAATTTATTGACGAAATATAAATATTCAATTAGAGATCATCATAAAATATTTTTAAAAAATGCAACGATTATAATATATAATTGGCAAAATTACAGTTTTGGTCCCCATACTATTATAAACAAAAATATTATGATAACTAAAATTAACATTAAAATATGAAAAATAAAATAAAAAATTTAAACAAATATAATGATAGTAAGATGAAGATATAAAAATACAAAAAATAAAAAAAAATTAAATTTATTCAAAATAAAACTTTTAACATTGTTATAACTCATACTACAATTATATATTGATATGTAATATAATACAATAAATTATAAAATAATTAAGTTATTACAAGAAAAATATTAAATAAAAATGAGTAGAATAAAACACATGGGAACAAAGTTGAATCATAATAATAAAAATAATGAAGTTGCCATTAAAAAAATGAAGGAATTATAATAAGGTGACAAAAATTAAGGTATAATATTAATAAAGACAACTAAAAATTTTATTAAATAAAAGTGAGGATAATTTTGTCAATATAATAAAAATACATGTTATCATAACTCTTCTCCCTCCCCTCCCCTCCAAAACCCCCCAATTTGGGGAACAAAAAAATGCTTCACGAGGGATTCTGATTACCTCCAATCCCCTCCCCTTTCCTTATAAAAAATTGAACCAAACACACCTATTTTAATATATTACCTCCCCTCCCCTCCCCTCCCCTCCAAAACCCCCAACCAAACAGACCCTAAAGAGAACTCAATAATGGTTATTTAACCATACAAAATAATTTCTCAAACAAGAGAAATTCAAATAATTATCCAAATATAATTGAAAAATTAATACTTATAATTTATCATCTCAAATGAGAAGAAATTAACATAATTATATTAAGAGAATTCAATAAAATATTCAAAAAATTCAATGAATAGAAAGAAAGGGAAAGAAGTTGACGACAATTCAAAAGACACAGAATTTTGAGATTGTAGAAGAAAAAATTCAACAAAAGAGTTTTTTTTGTGTGTTTTGTAATGAAATGAAAAATTTTCTTATATAATGAATTGAGTTAACTAAGATATCTCACTTAAACAATATGAAACTAAGGAATTTTTTCGACTAACATACAACGTAAAACTTAAGAAATTTTTTAAAATTCATCTCCTTATATATGTACTGACATAATATTCCAACAGTAATTCTATTATAGCTTCAGAACGTAAATCTTACTATCATGGATTATAGAGGCCACCGAAAAAATTGAAGAAAGAAACATGGTTGATATATTCCAGTGTTACAATACAGTACAATATGTTGAATGAATCTCTATAATAGACAACAAAAGAAAGACAATGAAACCAAAAATTTGTTTTGGCAATGGCCTTATCTATAATCAATGACACTAAGTTTCAGAATGAATTGTAATTTAGTAGTGCCTGGTTGAAGAAAGTCAGGCAAAATAATTATGCAAACAATCAATTCATAAATAGAATTAATCAACTGCCACATTTTGGATTCTGCTGCAGTGTTAATTTCTACTTCCTCTTCTAAGGCTTGTTCAAAGGCTAGTAACTCCATTTGAATTTGAATTTGAATCTTCAACACTATTTGTTTTAACATTGCCACTGTTATGTTCCGTGCCATAGATGTGGCCCATTTTCACACGTTTTGTCTCCAAATATCTCCTGTTCTCTGAAGTGATAAGAGTTAACAATGGAATCCTACCAGAAACAGTTAAACCATAACCTTTGAGACCAATATATTTTGATGGATTGTTAGTCATCAACTTCATAGATTGAACACCTAGATCCCTAAGTATCTGCAAAAGTAGTAGCATTTCAAATTCCATAACAATTGTGATCAGCATGTATTCAAACAGTTTAAATGTTATTGCAAGAGATTCGTCATTGAACTGATAAGCGTATATATATTACCTGTGCACCAATGCCGTACTCCCTAGAGTCAACAGGCAATCCCAACTCCTCATTGGCTTCTACGGTATCCCGTCCATCATCCTGTAGGTTATAAGCACGCAGCTTGTGGCCCAAACCAATACCCCTACCTTCATGTCCGCGTAGATATACAAGTACACCCCTACCGGCAGCCTCAATCTGTTGCATTGCAAGTGCAAGTTGATTTCCACAGTCACATCTGGCAGATCCAAATATGTCTCCAGTTAGACACTCCGAGTGTACCCTAACAAGAACATCTTGTCCATCTCCAATATCACCCTGTTAAATGAAATATACTCGAAACCCATAACTAAGTGTTGCAAGATATAGGTAATTCCACATAAACTACAATATATATACAAGAAATGCTCCTCACCTTAACCATTGCAATATGCTCAATCCCATCTAACAGAGACTTATAGCAGTATGATGTGAACGGCCCCCACATTGTAGGTATTCTTGCAGCAGAAGAGCGTTCTACTAATTTATCTCTCTTTCTTCTATATCTGCCATAACAACAATAAGTGTAATCCCCTAGCTATAACCAACAAGAACTTATACAACATTTGTAGGTAAATATATCGAGATATCAACTCATTTAGCCACGACTGAGGCTTATATATTGTGATATGAACTTATTTAATGTTACATATAAACATTAGGTGTGTAAATTATGTTATCTGCATTTGAATGCAAAAATAAACATCAAAGACATCACAAATATGCAACCAAGGAATTGTATTACATCTTTCACGATTTGTAACCACATACCTTATCAAGTCGGCAATAGATACAATTTTCAAATTCTCACGCTTGGCAAATTGGCGAAGCTTAGGCAATCTAGCCATGGAACCATCGTCATCTACAATCTCACACAGAACTGACACCGGATCCAAACCAGCAAGTACGGTAAGATCAACTGAAGCTTCTGTATGTCCAGCTCTCTTTAAGACACCACCATCCCTGTATTTTAGTGGGAAAATATGGCCTGGGCGGTTGAAATCACCCGGAGTTGAATCTCTAGATGCAAGGGCCAAAACTGTAGTTGCCCTATCATGAGCTGACACCCCTGTGGTTGTACCATGTTTAGCATCCTACAAATGCATTTAAATTGTTGAAATGTATAAAATTCTATCAATAAAAGGCCTAAACCACATAAAAAGAAAATTCCTTCAAACAATATAACAGATCAAATTTCAGTAGTTTCTTGATTTGAAACCATTTTGTTACAAGAAGATGAATGCCCCGTAGATAAATCGAGTTTAGCTATGAGTTATCACATGCAACAAATTAAATGCATTATACAAGTATGCCATGATATATCTAAGCGCAAGGCCTTAGTCCAATATTGTCTATTGCAGATCGCGGAGAACAACAGTTTGTTCGAATTCCGCTACACAACATTTTCAATGGTGATATAGCACTAACTCCAGATGTGTAAAGACTACAGATGCAATTAAGAATTAAGAACAGTAATACATACCACTGTCACAGTGAATGCCGTAGAAAGTTTTTCCGCATTGGCCTTACTGTCCACCATCAGAGGAAGTTCCAATCTATCAAGATCTTCCTCTTTCATGCTTACACAAACTATGCCAGTTCCATGCTTTACTATAAAAGCCATAGCTTCAGGTGTTGCCAACTGTGCTGCCATTATCAAGTCTCCTTCGTTTTCTCTATCTTCGTCGTCTACAACTACTACCATCTGCATGATTAATATCCGTTAATAAAATAAATCTATCACAATATCAACAACAAAAGTAAAAACTTATATTAGATGTAAAAGTTAGTTACACTATTTCACAACCTTTCCCTGGCGAATGTCTTCAATGGCCTCAGGGATAGAAGCAAAACCTTCTGCGGGACTGTCCAAATCAAATTCATTGTCGTCAGCAGGGAAAAAAATGCTTGTTATCCCCAAGTCTTGTGTCGATGTTCCATTTGATTCATCGACGACAACCAGATCTTTACCTATGACAACATCATTGCTATTTTTTGGATAAGAAAGCAGGTCACCCCCTCCAGTTGCCAATGTAGCTTTAACCCTAAATGCAGCATTGTGACCTGAAGCAAATTTATAATTCAGTTTGGCAGGGGGGAAATCATTGAATAATTTGAAGTGGTTGGATACCCTACATTGAAGAACAGACCAAATCAAAGATTAATTTCAAATAGTAACATCCAAACATCAAATAGAAGATTAATTTCAGATAGTAACATCCAAACATCAAATCATAGAGAAACAAAAAAAATCATGAAATTTAAGAACTCTAAGACACAATGAAAAGTATGCTTGGTTTACCTTTTTGAAGAGGCAAAAACAATTCTAGAATTGTAAAAAAATTGATTTTGAGGTGTTTGGTTCTTCTAAAATAGAATTGATTCCGTCTCCAGAATTAATTATACTTTTACAAGAATCTGTAGCTTTTGAGTTTAAAAATAATTTTTACATTAAAATTTACTCTTCAATTAACTTTTACAAGAATCTCTAGCTTTTGAGTTTAAACATAATTTATACATTAAAATTTACTCTTCAACTAACTTTAACCTTTCAATTCATTCAAAATCAATCATTTTCACCGTAAAACCAAACACACGGCTTAGTCTAAGCTAAAAAAATCTAGGTCCATTTCAGCAACCCGAACTATAGTTGGTTTCACGAATCGAATATTATAAATTGATTCTAGAGATCTGAAATTGATTTTGAGGTGTTTTGTAACTCTTGAATAGAAATTATTTTGCATTCATAATTGATTTTATAAGAAAAATCTATAGAGAGAGGTAATAGAGAATCCACAAAATAAAACAACTCTAACTAACTTTCACAATTCTAACCAACTTTCACAATTTTAAATAAAAGACAGCAATATACAAAATTGGTTAGAGATAGATAGAGATGAGAAGGTACCTGGAAGATGAGAGTGGCGTTGAGGAAGAAGAAGAGAGATTAAAAGTAGAAGCAGCCATAGTTTTGTTTGAGAAAATGAGGGTGCAAGAAGAAAGGTGTGGTGTATATATATAAAAGTGGAGGAAGTAACGTCGAAACGTGGTGATGACAGAAAGAGAGATCGGTGTCTCCTCTTTACCCCCATGAGTTCCTCATATATTTATAATCTAATAGATACAGAGTTTTTTAGATTAGATGACAAGATCACCGGTTTTTTTTTATATTTTAATAATATAATAGGTAAAATATATATTATTATATAATATTTAAAAAATTAAAAATATATTAATAATAAATATTTATTTATCGGTTTATATAAAATTATTCTTTTAAAATATATTAAAATTTTATTTATCTAAAACTATTACTTTACTTCCTCTTCCTTTCTCACTTGGGGAAAAAAATACATGCAAGTGTAAAAGGGAAGCATCAAATTTTAAGTAAAATAATTTATCAGTTGTTTATTCAATGAATGAAGACGAGTGGTTCGGTATTATAAGTAGTATTCAAATTTGCATTATCACGTTGACCATCACTATTCTTCCATTCAACGGTCAAAATGAGCTTCTCTTCCATTCTGTACCTTCAAATTTTCTATAAAGGTAAGCTGAGATGAGTGATGACATGAGGTGTCATGAAATAGAATATTATTTAGGAAAATTCTTCGTACCATGAATTTTCGTTCAATATCAATATCTTTCCTAAATTAATTTGAAAGTTTAATTTATTTTAATATTAAATATTATTATTTGTATTTTAATCGGATAAAAGTATTGAAATACACAAATAATTTCAAAGGTATGAGAGTGTTACTTGCTATTAGTTTTAGGAGAATAATTATTAAACTAAATATTTGTTTTCATTCTTTATCTTTGATTTGGAGTTCAAATATTATAGTAATTTTTAAACGAGTTATGTTAACTAGTGTTTTTATAAATTTTAATTAAAAAATATTTTTTAATAAAATTAATTATTTTAATTTTCATTGAATATATTCATTTTAAAAATTACTTATTTTTTAAATTATGCTTAGAGCATTTGATAGTATTTTTCTTTTTGAAAATACTATTTTGATTCTTTAACTTTTCAAAATATAGCATATTATTCCATTTCATCCAAATATTAATAATTGCATCAATTTTTGTTACGTGTGACTTTGAATATTTAGAACTGATTTAACGACAGAAAAATTAATTATTAAAAGGGATTTTTTTTTTAATTTTCAACCTTTTCTTTGTCTTCTTTAATTTAAGAATATCTTCTTCATATTGTTTATAGAGTATTATTAATTACTATTAATTAATTATTTTAATATAATTAATTAATATTATATTTTAGAGATTTTTTAGTTCTTAAGATTGTGTCATATGGAAGACTCTGATATATTTAGAGTTTTATATATTGATGTAAAATGAAGTTTATTTTTTTTAGTTTAGCTTCATCTCTCTCTTAGTTTTATTTGTCTTCTTCATAGTTTATATTTTACAATTTTCTTAAATTTGTTAGAGTTTTTATCTTGGCATCCTAACAATTGGTGTTTTTATTCTTCAACATCAAAATCTCCCATGACATATCAATTTCACGTCACTTTCAATCTCTATTCCATGGACATCAGTCTACCACACCCTCATTTCTATCTTTTCCATGGAAAAATTTTACACCTTATTCTACCAACACTCATATTGCATCTTCGTCGCCAAATTTGTATTTAAATCATGGTTATTCACATAACTCATATCCATCAGGTGCATATCATTCACATATTTATCAAAATTATTATAACAATTGTCATGAACAATAATACATAGTTATTCTGGACTGGCACATGCCCCGCAGTTGGGCAAGGCTCAATCCAGTTTAGCTTAAGGGTCATGCCCAATAAGGAGATTAAAGGCATAATCTAGCCGTTGGGCACAATATAGTCGTTGGGGACATCTCCCTCACGCGTTTGACAGTTCACACAACCAACTGCCTCTCCGAAAGTCTCAGGGACAGTTGGACCAGGTCAAAGATCACGCGCTAGATCTTCCACCTGGAAGTCCCCCATTGACCGACCAGAATTTCGGTCACATGGGAGACCTTGGCCCCGCGCTGGGGAGAAACTCATATATACCCTCTCTCTTGAGATGATCAGGTATTCTAATTATTCTTACTCATACCTAAACACTTGTATTTACTTTCTCTATAGCCCAAACACTTACTTTGGCATTGGAGTACCTTGCAGGTACACACCCCTCCTCTCTTACAGCCGTCGTTGCTGCTCTACATCGAAAACCAAGACGATCCATTTTGATCACTCCAGATCAATGGCGCCGTTTGTGGGAACACCAGCTCCCCCGTCTTTTTGAACCAAGATTTCTCAATCTTCCCGAACAAAAGACCAAAGTTATCCCTCTGAACCTTCATCGTCATGGCCTTTCACCATATTGATGTCCATCAAGATTTTGTCGTCGCCACTCTGAGTGGCGGCGAAACCCCCATTCTCGGAGCCGTCACTAGAGAAATTGATCACAAAGACGGAAAACCAGCATCTCCTGATAACGTGAAGCCTCGTGTCCAAATTTCCAACCAAGTATACGAGCCTATCATCGTCCCGCAAGATGCTGACCCTTGCACTGTGACCCTCATCGCCGCTCTCAACAAATCTAACTATTTGCTCTTCCAACAAAGGGAAAAATCCACATGCTGGAGAACACCCTCAGAGAGCAACTTCCCCTGCGAGGATCCCTCAGCCCCATCTCGCCGGTCTCATTCCCCTCTTTAGAAGCGTCACCAAGACAAATCTAGAAGCATTTCCTCAGTCAAAGAACGGTCTAAACTAGAGAAACATGGACACGAGATCACTAGAAGACGCGATCGTACCCCTCCCCGGAGACCCAGGAAATCCCTAGCACCTAAAAGGACCAGGCCTTATGGAAAGCCTTGTGAAGAGCATCGAAGCCGACATGAACGTTCTCCTCGACGCAGCAGGAGCCAGGGATACAGTTGTTCGTTCAGCAGGTCGCCCAACACGAACGACGAAGACAACGCTCGCAGTCCCCTGTCACAGGAAATCATGGACACCTGCATTCGTCTTGGGCTGGAGAAACCTCCCCCTCTGGCTCTCTATGATGGTACTATCGATCCTGGTGACCACATAGAAAACATTGAGGCCGTGCTACACTACCACAATGTCGTTGGGGAAATCAAATGTAGGCTACTCCCCATCACCCTGAGAAAGGGGGCTATGGCTTGGCATAAAAGCCTTCCTCGGGGCTCAATCACGTCTTGGAGGAGTTTGAATGAGCAGTTTGCCCGACACTTTATTGCCTCCAAGCGTCATCCAAAATTTGAAGTCACGCTTGAGGGTATCATCTAGGGCAGGGACGAGCCTATTTTGTAATTACGTTGACAGATTCACTAAGGAAGTAGTCGAAATCCGCAAAACCCTATATTCAATACAAAGAAAATGAGGCCGCATATAAAGCCAGAGATTCAAGGGACCAAGAGAATTCCAAGCGTCGAAGAAAGAAGAAGCAAAAACTTCCAGGTGGGACAGAGATAGGCGACGAGACGACTGTCCCCGTGATCACAAAGGGCCTACAGGTCGATTCACCAAATATACCTTGCTAACCGCTCCCCGCGAGCGTATCCTGTCTGAATGTATCAACGTTGAATTCAAGCAAGGGGGCGTGCAATTCCCCAAGCCAACAACTTTGAAGAGCAACATTGGCCGAAGCAAATATTGTCGCTTCCACCGCAGCCATGGCCATATAACAGAAGACTGCGTCCACCTGAAAGACATCATCGAAATCCTCATCAAAGAGGGCCGCCTAAAGCAATATACGAAGATAGGAGAAGCCCCCCGATGAGAAATGACGGAGTCTAAGAAAGCATATACAAGAGCTTCGTCTTCTAGCCCTCCCCCGCTGGTCGCCAAGTCTGTCTCCCGACCAGAGGACTTTTGCATCCTCGGTGGTCTCGAGGAACCTGCATATTTTTCTACGTATAGCCCCTGGGAGGCCTTTCCCGACACAATAGTTATTTCCTGCGGAGGATACAATGAACTTACAGTAGGATCAGTAAAAAAGAAAATTCGACCAACTGATCAACTGTAGTCCAGATTGTCTATCAACACTCGAAAAATTTTGAGGACGATCCCAGCCAATCATTTTCTACCGTGAAGAGCTCCTCAGAGGCTCCCCCAATTCTCACATCCCTCTTCTCATCAGAGTCAGGTTAACCAACACTGGCGTTTGCCGAATCCTTGTCGACCAGGGAAGCTCGGTGGACATCATGAACACCAGCCTATTACATGCCCTCAAACTCGACCAAAAGAACCTATTCCCTTATGTAGGTTCAGATTTACAAGGATTCAACGGGGCCACTACTAGACCTTGGGGATACGTGGAGCTCCAAGTTACATTTGGGGAGGAAGATGATGCCAAAACAATTAAGACTCAACTCTTAGTTATAGACTGTCCCTCATTATACCAATGCATCCTGAGCAGACTGACACTTGTCGAACTAATCACTGCCACTTCCACAATTCATATTAAGATGAAGTATTATACTGAAAAGTGGCATGTTGCCACTCTATACGAGGACATCGAGGCTGCAAGACGATGATTCGAGGCGGCTACCAAAGGGCAGAGTTCAATCAGTGCAGCACCGCAAGTCGTCAAACGGGTAAGAGACGAAGATCTTCCCAATGAAGAAAGCCATCTCGGAAAGAAGCCAGCTCTCCAAGTTCATACCATCAACCTCGACAGCTGAATCCCAGAGGAAGGCGAATAGGACACTCCAGTTTCAACGGGGAGCTCATCCTCTACAATTGTTATGCGCCCAACACCAGATGGGGAATTCTAAGTAATCACCTTCGGGGACAACCCCAACCGAGGAGTCAAGGTTGGTGCAGGACTACCAAACGAGGTGAAGGAACAGCTGATGACTTGTTTAAAGAACAACGCTGACTTGTTTTTCTGGAGCGCCGCAGACATGCCCGGCCTCGACCCAGAGATCGCATGCCATTAGCTCGGGCGGTAGCACAGTGCAAAGACCTCTTAGAGGCCAATAAATTTGTAAAAGACCGAAGTGGTGAATAAAATTGTAAAAGACCTCTTAGAGGCCAAGATTACCTCGGAAACTAGGTATACGACCTAGATG